TCACACAGTATCGCACAGTATCACACAGTATCACACAGTATCACACAGTATCACACAGTATCGCACAGTATCGCACAGTATTGCACAATATGACACACTATCACACAGTATCGCACAGTATCGCACAGTATCGGACAGTATCGGACAGTATCGCACAGTATCACACAGTATCGCACAGTATCGCACAGTATCGCACAATATCGCACAGTATCGCACAGTATCACACAGTATCACACAGTATCGCACAGTATCGCACAGTATCGCACAGTATCGCACAGTATCACACTATCACACAGTATCGCACAGTATCACACAATATCGCACAGTATCACACAATATCGTATAGTATCACACAGTATCGGACAGTATCGCACAGTATCGCACAGTATCGGACAGCATCGCACGGTATCGCACGGTATCGCACTATCACACGGTATCGCACTATCACATGGTATCGCACAGTATCGCACAGTATCGCACAGTATCGCACAGTATCACACTATCACACAGTATCACACAGTATCACAGTATCGCACAGTATCGCACAGTATCACAGTATCGCACAGTATCGGACAGTATCGCACAGTATCGCACAGTATCGCACAGTATCGCACAGTATCGCACAGTATCGGACAGTATCGCACAGTATCGCACAGTATCGGACAGTATCGCACAGTATCGCACAGTATCGCACAGTATCGCACAGTATCGCACAGTATCACACAGTATCACACAGTATCGCACAGTATCGCACAGTATCGGACAGTATCGCACAGTATCGCACAGTATCGCACAGCATCGCACAGTATCACACAGTATCACACAGTATCACACAGTATCGCACAGTATCGCACAGTATCGCACAGTATCGGACAGTATCGGACAGTATCGCACAGTATCGCACAGTATCGCACAGCATCGGACAGCATCGGACAGTATCGCACAGTATCGCACAGTATCGGACAGTATCGCACAGTATCGCACAGTATCGCACAGTATCGCACAGTATCGCACAGTATCGCACAGTATCGCACAGTATCGGACAGTATCGGACAGTATCGCACAGTATCACACAGTATCGCACAGTATCGCACAGTATCGCACAGTATCGCACAGTATCGCACAGTATCGCACAGCATCGCACAGTATCGCACAGTATCGGACAGTATCGCACAGTATCGCACAGTATCGCACAGTATCGCACAGTATCGCACAGTATCGGACAGTATCGCACAGCATCGCACAGTATCGCACAGTATCGCACAGTATCGCACAGTATCGCACAGTATCGCACAGTATCGCACAGTATCGGACAGTATCGCACAGCATCGCACAGTATCGCACAGTATCGCACAGTATCGCACAGTATCGGACAGTATCGCACAGCATCGCACAGTATCACACTATCACACAGTATCGCACAGTATCGGACAGTATCGCACAGTATCGGACAGTATCGCACAGTATCGCACGGTATCGCACTATCACACGGTATCGCACGGTATCGCACGATATCGCATGGTATCGCACAGTATCGCACGGTATCGCACAGTATCACACTATCACACGGTATCGCACGGTATCGCACGGCATCGCACGGCATCGGACAGTATCGAACAGCATCGGACAGCATCGCACAGTATCGCACAGTATCACACAGTATCGGACAGCATCCCACAATATGACACAGTATCACACAGTCTGACACAGTCTGAACCACTCCAACACCCAACCATGTAGCCCCATGCCCCACATTTCCCCCCACGCCCCACAGATCCCCCCCCTCCCCGTGTCCCCCCCCTGCCCCCCGCTCCCCGCTCACCTCCCTGGCGCTCAGCAGCCGCTGCAGCACCCCCAGTCCGTAGGCCCCCGTTTTGCCGGACCCGGTCCTGGCGCGCACCAGCAGGTCCCGGCCCTCCAGCGCCAGCGGAATGGCCTCGGCCTGGATGGACGTGGGGGAGCCCCAGCCCAGCTCCGCCACCGCCTGCGGGGCCGCCCGGCCGTCACCCTCCTGCTCCGGGACTCACCCCGTGAAGGACCCCGGTACCGAACCCCACCAGTACCGAACCCCCCCCCGGTACTGACCCACCGGTACCGATTCCCCGGTACCGGACCCCCCCCGGTCAGGAACCCCCCCCAGGTACCGAATCCCCCCCCCCGATACCGACACCCCCCTGTACCGAACCCCCCCGATACCGAAACCCCGGTACCGACCACCCCTGTACTGAATCCCCCCGGTACTGACCCCACCGATACCGACCTCCCCGGTACTGACCCCTTCCGGTACCAGCCCCTCCGGTACCGAACTCCCCCCGTTACCGACCCCCCCCCACGGTACCGAACCCCCCCGCTACCGACCTCCCCTGTACCGACCCCCCCCCTGTACCGACCCCCCCGATACCGACCCCCCCCCGATACCGAACCCCCCCGGCTCCTCAGACCCTCCCAGTGCCCCGAACCCCGCTGTCCCCCCCCTCATTCCACAGCAGTGACCCCAACCCTTCAGTGCCCCCCAAGCCCTGGCTGTACCCCATATCCCCCCCATGGCCTCATGCCCCACCCCCAGGCACCCCAAACGCTCTCAATGGGCTCCCCCCCCAAAGGACCCCGCTCTCCGGTTCCCCCCACACTGCCGGGTCCCGGTGCCCTCCTGTCCCCCCGGTGACCAATGGATTGCTCGGTACCGGCCCTTTACGGCCTCCCTCACCCGCAGGGACCCCCGAGCCCCCTCCCCACCGTGGCTGCCCCCACCCCGGGTCCGATCCCGATCCCGATCCCGGTCCCGGTCCCTCCGCACCCGCAGGAGCCGCGGGTCCAGCCCCATGTGCTCGAACCGCGCCACCGGCCCTTCCGCCGCCGCCGCCATGCTGGCCTCCCGCTCACCACCGACACCCGCCGCGCGCCCAGAGCGGCCTCGGCGCCGCACCGCCCCCTGGCGGTGGAGGACTGAGCACCCCCCCCCATTAAAACCGCACCAATGGACCCCAAAACCGCTTTATTTCCTCCCAAAACGGCAGCGCGGACCCCCCCAACCCCATCCCGCTGTGGGAGCCCCCCCCCAGGGGAGTGCTTGGGGGCTCTACACCAGCTTCTTGGCCTCGAAGAAGCTCTTGAGGTGCCTCATCTGCCAGATGCCGGTGAGGATGAGGATGATGGTCTGGGCGATGGACCACCACAGCACCCGCTGGTTCGTGCTCTCGCTCGTCATGCGGAACCGCTCCTCCCGGTACTGCGGGCCGGGAACAGAGCGTGGGCTGGAGTCACGGGATGGGGAAAGCGGGGTCCGTCCCCCCCAACCCCTGCACCCCGCTCCTCACCCGCTGGTAGTTCTGCTCCTTCTGGATCTGCTCCACTTGGTCCAGCAGCTGCCGGGCGCGGAGCTGCAGCTCCGTCAGCTTGTCCTTAGCGGCGATCTCGGGGTAGTTGTTGGTGTGCTCCCCCACCTGGATGTCGAGGTGCACCCGCTGCGGGGCACAGGGGGTCAGGGTGCGCCGGTACCCCCCGCCTCGGGGTGTCCCCATCCCCGGCCCCCACTCACCAGCTTGCCGCCGGCGAACAGCGCCATGCGGGTGGAGTTGGAGTGGAGGCAGATCTGGTGCTCCCCCGGCGTGTGCGACGTGAAGGTGAAGCGGCCCTCGGAGCCGTACTGTCGCGACAGCACCACCTGCACCGCGACACTGCACCCGCTGCCGAGGCACCCGCAGGGACACCCCCACGCCCACCCTGCAGGCACCCCAATGATGGGCACCCAAGCACCCCAACCACCACCCACCTTCCTTTGCAAGCACCCCAGGGACCCCCTCCCCTCGTTCAAAGGCACCCCAGGGACATCCCCCCCATGGGTACCCCTGCACCCCAAGGGCAATCTGCTGCCTGCCAGCACCCAGGGACACCCTGTGCAGAACCAAAGGCACCCCGGGGACCCCCCCAAGGCCTACATTGGACCCCAGGGTTCCCCTGCCCTGGCTCAAAGGCACGCCAGGGACCCCCGCACCCCATGGGTGCCCCACGCACACCAAGGCCTCCCCCCCGTACTCACTTTGCCGTCGGGGTCCTTCACCTCCACGTGCATGCCCAGCCCCGGCGTGGACGGCAGGAACGACTCCGACTGCTTGTCCCAGAGCTGCGTCCGGTAATTCCCTGCGGACAGGCCGGGATCGGACCGGGGCCGGGACCGGAGCCATCCCCCGCGGATGGGGCCCTCCCCCCCGGCCGCCGGGGCCCCCCGCCCGCACCGATGACCATGGTCTCGTCCGGGATCTCCTCGATGAAGCAGCGCTTCTCGGTCTCGCCGATGTGGAAGTACAGCCCCTGCCCGCCCCACGCCAGCACCAGAGCCACCACCGCGGCCCGCAGCGCCCCGCCGCCCGCCATGACCAGCGCCGCTCGCACTGCGCATGCGCAGCCCCTCCCCATTGACACATCCACGCTCCGGTGGCGCAGCGAGGAGAGCGCTGCTCCTCCAGCTCAAACATCGCGAGTTCGAATCCCGCCCGCGCCCCCTCCGACGGCAGCGCTGTCCCCCGGTTCTGTCCCATCCCCGCCGTGTCCCCCGCCCCGCGGTGGGGCGGAACCAGCGCTTCCCCCTCCGCCAGCGCTGTGGCAACAGCTCCGCCGCCTCCTCCTTCCTTCCGCGCCCCATGGGTGAGCGCGGACCCCCGGGAGCGGGAGGCGGCGGCGGGGCCCTGGCGCTCAAACCCGCGCTGCCCCTCGCCCCCCTCCTCCTCTGTCCCCGCGCAGAGCCCGAAGCCCCCGCGCCCGCCCCGCGGCCCCGCGCAGTGCTCCGGTACCGGTGAGTGGCGCTGCGGGCGCGGCCCCGCGCGGGGCGGGGCGGGGGGGGGCAGCGGTGTCCGCGCTGTCCCCGCAGGATGCGCGACTTGGACCACAAGAGCCTTTACCTGCGCGACGGGCGGCTCCTGGCCGGGCACCTGCAGGGCGCCAACGCGGCGCGGGAAGGTGAGGGGGGGCCCTGCGGGGGGGGGGGGACCCGGGCACCGATGGGGACCCCCCCTGGAGCGCGCCCTGACGCGGGGCGGGGGGGGTGGCCCCAGAGGAGGTGTTTTGGGTGCCCAACCGCGCCTTCGCGCCCGCCCGGCTGCCCCTCGTCATGGGCATCCAGAACGGGTCCCGGTGCCTCGCCAGCGCCCCCGGGCCCCGGCCCAGCCTGAGCCTGCAGGTGAGCCAGAGCCAGCGGGGGAGCGCGGGGGCAGCAACGGGGATGGGGGCATCCGTGGGGGCATCAGTGGGGATGGGGATATCGATGGGGATGGGGATAGCAATGGGATGGGGGCATCCATGTTGATGGGGTCATCATGGGGATACCAAAGGGATGGGGACATCAATGGGGATATCATTGGGGATGGGGATATCGATGGGGACACCATGGGGGCACCAATGGGGATGGGGGCATCCATGGGGATGGGAATATCGATGGGATGGGGACACCAATAGGATGGAGACATCAATGGAGATATCATTGGGGATGGGGATATTGATGGGGACACCAATGGGGGCACCAATGGGGATGGGGGCATCTTGGGGATACCAAGGGGTGGGGACATCAATGGGGACATCATTGGGAATGGGGATATCGATGGGGACACCAATGGGATGGGGGCATCCATGAGGATGGGAACACCATGGGGATACCATGGGGATGGGGACACCAATGGGATGGGGACATCAATGGGGACACCACTGAGATGGGGACACCACGGGGATGGGGACATCAGTGGGGACACCACAGGGATGGGGAAATCAATGGGGACACCAATGGGATGGGCACACCAATGGGCATGGAGACACCACAGGGATGGGGACATCAATGGGGACACCAAAGGGATGGGGATATCGATGGGGATGGGGACACAAAGAGATGGTAACACCATGGGGACACTGCTGGAACACGGGGACATCATTGGGCGCGGGGACATTGATGGCGACATCATTGGGGATGGGGTATTGATGGGGACACCATGGGGGCACCAACGGGATGGGGGCATCCACGCAGATGAGGACACCAATGGGGATGGGGATATCGATGGGGACACCAATGGGATGGGGGCATCCATGGGGATGAAGACACCAATGGGGATGGGGACATCATGGGGACACCTTGGGGAAGGAGCACCAGGGGGCCCCAAAGGGATGAGGACCCAATGGGGAGGGAGGGGGGGGCAACACGGGGATGAGGATACCAAAGAGACGGGGACAGCGCGGGGACAGCGCGGGGCTGGGGACACCGATGGGGCCGTGAAAGGGACGGGGACGCCCTGGGGAGGGGGCACCCCGGGGCTGGGGCTCTCGCGGTCCCCCCTTTCCCCAACGCCGCTGCCCGGGGCTGTCCCGGTCCCATCCCGGTCCCGTCCCGGTGCCGCCCCGTGCCGGTGCCGCCGCAGGACGCCGACATCCGGGAGCTGCCCCGCGCCGGGCCGGCCTCGGCCGCCTTCACCTTCTTCCGCTCGTACCGGGCCGGGCTCTGGCGCTTCGAGTCGGCCGCGAACCCCGGCTGGTTCCTGTGCACCTCGGCGCGGGGCCACCAGCCCCTGGGGCTCTCCCGGAGCCACGATCCCAGCACCCGCCTCGACTTCTACTTCAGCGCCGCCGAGGGCCCGGAGCCCGGCACCGGGGACAGGGACCGGGACCCCCCCCTCCCCCGGTGACCCCCGGTGACGCCGCGGGGCAATAAAGCTGCCGAGGGCACCGGTCCCGTGTCGGGGGCTCCGCGGCTCCTTCTCCATCCGCGGCGTGTCCCGACCGGCACCGGGGGACGGGAACGGGGATCACGGGGTGGGGATGGGGCCAGCGGAGGGAAGGGGGAATACGGGGACAGGGACACGGGGGGAAGGGACAGGGGGGCATTGCAGGGACATGGGCATGGGGACGGGGGACACAGGGATGTCTGGGGGCAGGTTTATGGGGACACGGGGATATACGGGGACCTGCGGGCATCGCAGGGACAGGGGGATGCGGCGCACAGGGACATGGAGGGACACAAGAATGCGGGGACCCAAAGCAAGGGAGAATCGCGGGGACCTGGGGATGGGGACACGGGGCCCCGGCACCGGGGGCAGTGGAGGGGACACCGGAGACCCGAGGGGACACCGGGACCTGGCGGGACACGGGCACCGGGGGAGGTTTCACCAGCACCGGCCCAGCCCGAACCGGTACCGGGCGAGGCCAGGGCCGGGCTCCGCTCCCCCGCTCCGTAAGAGCCGGAGCCAGGGCCCGGGACAGGCTCGGGAGCGCGGGGGAACATCCGGAACCGCCCGGTCGGGAACGAGCCGGGTCCTGCCCGGCAGCGGCTGCAGCGCGGTCAGTCTGGAGCCGAGTGAGAGCAGCGGGCGGGGAGGGGGAACGGGGTGGGGATGGGATGGGGATGGGATGGGGATGGGGATGGGGACGAGATGGGATGGGGATGGGATGGGGATGGGATGGGGATGGGATTGGGACGGGATGAGGTGGGGATGGGATGGTCCCATCCCTCCCCCGGGATGTGGCACCAGCGGCGCCCGCCCTCACCCCAACCTGTCCCTGTCCTCCCCGTGCAACAGCGGGGCCGAGGGGGACCCCAGGAGCGGCCCCGGCCCCTGCAGCACCCGATGGGGGTCTCACATCCCCATCCCCACATCCCTGTGACGTCCCCATGTCCCTGTGCACCCCTGACTTCCCCGTGTCCCCCCTCCCCACGTTCCAGTGCTGCCCTCATGCACCCCCCATGTCCGTGCCCCCCCCATGTCCGCACGCCCCCCTCCCATTTGTAGTCCCCGTGTCCCTGCCGTGTCCCCTGCACCCCCATGCCCCTGACACCCCCCGTGCCCCCCCCGCTCCCCGCAGAGCCCAACCCGGCCCTGTCCTGCAGGGGTTGAGGCAGCGGCGCTGCTGGAGG